AAGGTGCATTTCTTTGCGCGGCGTTTTAGTTAGTAGCCCGCTGCCGCTCATCAAGTGCAGACGTAATAATTAATTTTATAAGATTAACCAGACGTTCCGTCTATTTTTTCCTTTTCTGTTTTATTTTATATGTATACTAGTAATATAAAATAAAGTGATATAAAACTAATTGGAAAAGGAATTTAAATTATTATAAAATAATAAATAACAAATAAATAAATAAAAAAATAAATAATTATAAATCGACGGAAAGAGGAAGTGCAGGCCATCAGAATCAATAATTAGCGGAAAGAAAGGTAAGTTAATCTGGATATTATATTCAACACTCTACTTCTTCCTTCCTTTTAATTTTTCTTAAACAAACAAATAGTTGGACTATCTGCTGTCCCGCAGCCTGTGAAGGAGCGTGACACTGTAGTCCACAGTTTTAGTTTTTGATTTGAAGCTGAAAACAAACTTAAATGATGTTAAACGTTATTGAACACCTTGTATGGATTTCCGACCGCCGCAAGTTCTGAGATTTCAATTCTAAGAACCGTAAAAATTGTATACGCTTTCCCTACCATATTCTTCCTTCCTTTTAATTTTTCTTAAACAAACAAATAGTTGGACTATCTGCTGTCCCGCAGCCTGTGAAGGAGCGTGAGACTGTAGACCACAGTTTTTAGTTTTTGATTTGAAGCTGTAAACAAACTTAAATGACATTTGTTTGTTTATTATATATTCTCTTACTCCTATCTTTTTCTTAAGAAACACCAAACACCATTAATGAAGCATGTTAATGAATGACGCGTAATACCCCATATTGTACACTGTGCGCGGAATCGTATATGCTGTGCTTTTGCGGATAGCATGGTATATGCGATATTTCGTTATAACTAAAAAAAAAAATAAAGTGAAAAAAAGGAAATAATAAATATAATACTACATTAATAAATAAACGGAAAAATAANAAATAAATAAAAAAATAAATAATTATCAATCGACGGAAAGAGGAAGTGCAGGCCATCAGAATCAATAATTAGAGGAAAGAAAGGTAAGTTAATCTGGATATTATATTCAACACTCTACTTCTTCCTTCCTTTTAATTTTTCTTAAACAAACAAATAGTTGGACTATCTGCTGTCCCGCAGCCTGTGAAGGAGCGTGACACTGTAGTCCACAGTTTTTAGTTTTTTATTTGAAGCTGAAAACAAACTTAAATGACGTTAAACGTTATTTAACACCTTGTATGGAATTCCGACCGCCGCAAGTTCTGAGATTTCAATTCTAAGAACCGTTAAAATTGTATACACTTTCCCTACCATATTTAAAGGTTTAATAACCATATCTCACGACTTCTGCATATATCTCAGAAATTTACTAACCTATTTTCTTGTTTCTCTTTACGTTGTTCTTTTCACTCATTGATTTATCATTGCAAGTAACGCCGACAGCGTCACTTTGAGGTTACATTTTCCATTTTATATTGTTTATATTAAAAAATTACAACATTTTGAAGTAGAAGTAATATAAGAATGGTGGATTCCGTTATGAATTGGACCTCATATAACGTTTATTCAGTTATAACTGAATAATAAAAAAGTGTATCTACCCCACTTTTTTACGTTTTTGCTGCACGATTTCAAAATACTTCCCTAGCGTATAAGTAGGTACAAGTATTACGTTCATATTCTATTTTTAAAGGTAGAATAAATTCGAGTGAAATTCGCCTATTTTGACGTTATCGATCAGAGCGATCGGGTATCTCAAAACGCGCGGGAGGGTTTGAAATACAATTGTACATATCGTGTTTAGAGCCTTATAAGGTTAATAAATACTATTTCGTACTGTTTCGTAGGCTACAACTCCAACGACGTAATTGTATTGTCTTAATTTTTACAAAATAATTTTTATTAACCTTATAAGACTGTAAACAAGATATGTACAATTGTATTTCGAACCCTCCCGCGCGTTTTGAGCAACCCGATCGCTCTGATCGATTACGTCAAAATACGCGTGTTCTTTGGCTGTTCCGGGTCGCTCTGAGCGCTCACGGCAGCCGTGAGCGAACATCGTGAACAAATCTGTTGAACAGAGGTTGACGCGCGAAGCGCGCAGGAGGCGGAGTCTCCTACTCTTTCTTGAAAAAATCCGTGAGGTTCAGGTGAATCTTCGTTTCCGGACACTTCATTACCTTTTACTGGGTCACGTGGTTTTCATCAGCGGTAAATTCAAAAATAAAAATAAAAATTTTTAAATTTTGAGTATGGATCGTAATTATTTGTTCTTGAAATATTAGTATATTTTTGTATAAGTAAAAAAAATATAATTTTTTTAATTGATACCCGTGGGCTGGCACGCATACTTCGCAGGGGGCAGAGCCCCCTACTACAGACAAAAAATAAAAACCTTTTTTACTTTGATTTCGATTTGACATTTCAAGTTGAACTATTGGAACAATTCGCAAGTTATACATGATTTAATAAAGACGATAGAAGTATGTGTGTAGTCTTCGAAAAGGTAGTTGAGAGGGTTTCATCAAAATTCGGATTATAATACTGTATCGGCCTTTCACAACAATACTTATATTTACTATTGTCATATCAATTATTGTCTTTTAGATATTTTTAATTAGGGAGGATAGAGGGGTATTTAATAAAAAATAGGAGATGTAAACAATGAATATCAGTTACAAGTGCAAAGAAAAATGATTTTCTATTCTTGAACAGTATCAGTTACCAGGCAAAAAGTCGACAAAAAAAATTATTGAAAAAAGTCATAACAACATGGCATCTTATGGGAATTAGCTGTGATTGACACTTCACTTTCCAATTACTACCTTCTAAAAAACATGATCGCCAAGAAAAAAAAAAAAGAAAAATAGACCTTCGCACTGCGATTAACACATAAAAATTATGTAGATCACCAGAGACATTCGAAAGAAAAAAAAAAAAAAAGATAGAAAAATCTAGTACTGTAACCTCACAAGCCACACTTGAGTGTCAAGGTATTGGATAAACTATTTTTTTTATTTGCCTTCGCTACTTTGACGTCCTGTTCTAAAGTATTGCAAACGATATATACAAACTTTTTTCATTACTACAATGTTTAATTATAATACTAGTGACCCCTTGGGACCCTCCATACGATATGCCACCACGCGCACTACCCTCCTTAAATGTTATTAATAACACGACAATGTTTGGATTTCACATGCGAAGTCACACTCAGCCAGTGACTTTAATTACTAACAGAATATCAGTTACCGATTTCTTTTTGCCTTTATTACTGAAGGTGACAGACGATGCACACATAATTACAGTGAGTAGTGGGGGTTAATGACTTTTGTATTTACACACACTTCGCACTTATGACTTTAAGGTTTCGGGTTTCTGATTTGTGGCAATGTATTGTATATATTGCAAGTGTCTCGATATCAAAATAAAATTGGCTACTTAAGAAGCTTCCAAGGTTCGAAAAACTAAAAGAATATTATTAAGCGCATGGACATTTTGTTGCAATACAACTGCATACCGGTATCGCGATGTATTTGTGAATTGTACAAATATACTACAGTGAAAACACATGCACAAATATAAAGAAAGTTTAGAACTTCTGTATTTCCACTGAAGAAAACAAGATATGAATTTCAGAATTTTTTTCATGATACAAGTTTTCTGTGCTCAGATAGATCAACAAACATGATGCGAATCGTTGATTACTTATTCATTACGCATGCAAATAAATAAATTACACAGTATGTGTTACCTTCTCGGTAAAATGCGTTTCCACTGTAAGTGGAAAACGTCCTGATAAAAAGATATACGCTAGCCTTCCTCGCACTGGCAAAGGTCTATCATTTATACCTTTCTCTCACTTACGATTGCTTTTCCGCATTCTGCTCTCAGTGTGAAAGACGGCTAGTGTAGTTCAATGTATATTAACGTAAAGGAGTTCTTCCCCCCGGGCACCGTAACAACTGCTGACGGAGCCCTGCACTCATCTCATAATTACAATAAGAAAAAATTTGCATTTCTCATCAAGTTAAATAATTGGCCATTGCATTACGTTCTTCAAATAAACAAAATAAATACTATGCTTTGGTGCAATAAATGGCAACAGAAAGAATTTTGTCGTTGTGCATTTTGACAAGTGCAATGCGGCATCCGTGCCTCAAATGACTGCTCCTAACCTAACTTGTATATATAGCAATACTGAAGCAGGCTTTGGATTGTATCTTTTCAAAACTATTCTGATTGCTCTTTGAAGGCTCTCAATCGTTTTCAGAAATATTACAGACGTTCTCATAAGTAGTAACTACACACAGTTCAAATAATTCCGAAATCTGATACTTTTCAATAACGAAAAGAATTGTAAAAGTCTTGATAGAGCTGAATGTCGAACTTTCCCATAACAGTACATATGTGTTAATTAAACACTCGATTTCTCAGCTAATAGGCTTTGAATGGCTCTCAAACTTCGACGATCGACTTCTACGATTACAAATAATCTGTTTGTAAAGCTTGGTCGAATCTGATACTTTTTATTTGGGGGGGGGGGGCCTTACAATTGACAAACAATTGAGATGGTGTGGCTGTTGACATTTGTAATCTTTACTTAAAAAACACTACACTGTGAAGTTACTCATTTATTACAGTAATAGACATAATATTAATAGTGTAATGATAGTACAATTATACTCACACGAACATAGTTTTAAAAACTTTATAATTTCCATCCATACAGGTATAACAACCTCATCATACCAGATTTATTTTCAGGTAATCATACAGAATAAATATGCCACCACAAAAAAAATGTATAAACTACCACTGTCTTCTACTTACGACAACCGGCAAGTTAGTAGGTGGACCCGTTTGCGATGGCAGAATATTTTATCACATTCTAGTCCTAATCAAAGTAAGTTTTTTTATTTATGATTGAAATCATTTGTGTTGCACCTATTTTTTTTTTGGTTACATGAAACTTATTTAAGCGTTAAAACGGGAAAGTGACCACATTTTGTGCTTGTACGTAAAACAGTGTATACTTATCTTGCTTCATGTACATTATATCAATGCCATCAATCTAATCATGTACGGTATGAGAGCACTGTGTTGGTCTACGATTTATATATAAAAGCACTACTGTACGTATGAGAGCATCCATAAGAACTTAATATTATAATAGTGAACCTCTATTGAAAATAACCATATGGGTTTTCCACATGGAATTTCCATATGGTTTCTCCACATACTTTTTTCATATGGAATATGATTTTTGTTCCAAATATCCAAATGCATTTAAATAAAAAACCATACTGTTTTTCAAATAAATCCACATTAATAAACAAAAAAATCATATGGCCAGATAAACCATATAAAATAATCGATAATCCCGTAGCCCTTAGTCGTTCATTTGAACACGAGTCAAGTAATGTATAAGAAAATATAATAATGTATACACAAAATATACATAATACATAATTATACGTAAAGAATTGTATGGAGAAACTATATGGAAAAACTATGTGGAAATCCATATGGAAATTCCATATGGAAAAACCATATGGTTATTTTCAATAGAGACTGACTTCAAAATCAATTCATTATAACACTAATAATTTGAATAACGAGGACATTAGAGATCATGAAAAGTAGATATGCAAAAGAAACATCTTTAAGAAGGATAGAGCGACTTTTAATAAAAAATAAGAAGTAAAAACAAAAAATATCAATTGAAAGAGTAAAAAATGATCTTTACATTGGTATTGTAAAAAATATAAGTCACTTCGCAAAAACTTAAGAAAAAAATTATCAAAGAAAGTTTGCGATAACATGGAGTCATATGGGAAATACACTTCTCTTACGAAAAACTAGCTTCTACAAAATACGATACATAAATAAAAATATGGGCATTATACATTTTTTCACGAGGATTAATACGAATCCAAAAAATTTATGCTTTTCCAGGAAAATTTAAGCGAAAAAAGTTATAAAGTAAGTGAAATAGAGTATTGTAACCTAAAAAATAGCACGTAATGTTGGAAAAGTTGGCAATACGGTTGTCTATTAGTGTATATCCGTTTGTTTGTTTTCTTCATTATTGTTAGTAATACGTTTTAGAAATATTTGTAATAAATCATCTTTTTACTATTGAGATATGATGGCCCCCTTAGGAGCCTTTCACATGATACGGCACCACGCGCTCTATCCTCCTGAACGTGGCTTGGGCGGTTGGTACCGTAAAAAGTAAGCGGGTCCCCCCGGGCATATACATGTATTTTTTAAAAGTAATGTAAATTTCCTTGAAAAATATTGTAGTAATATCTTTAATTATAGTTATTGTAATTACTTAAAAAAAGGGGAAAATATTACCACAAAGTAAGAATAATATTTCGTATTATAAATTGCGCATGAGCATAAGACGACGGATTCCTTTTCTTCCAATTGTCTATAAATCGAAATGGTTAACCCTATGCTTTTGAAAATCTTATTAAATTCTTCGTAAAAAATACATAAATATCATTGTTAATATCTTAGGTTTATCATTTACTTCCAAAGTTATAGTTAATTTTGCAACGATTCCCATAAGACTGCGTGTTGAAGGGATAACTTTTCAGAAGCAATTTTTTCAAAAATAAAGTGGTTAACCATAGTATTTTTTTTGGCAAATTAATTCGGCATACTTCATTCACATAATATCGATATTTCAGAGATTTTTATCATTCCAGTAAAAATCACCCAAGCCACCTTAAGAGTGTTACAAAACTAACAAAATTTTATAACATGACTATTACTGTATGAAACATATAGTTCCACTTTTTCACTTTCTGCAGTATTGAACATTAAATACATACGAAGCCTATACTTTTGTTCTTCTATTCGCGCACATTCAAAGTTGATACTTGGTTCCTTCAACACACAACCATTTGGATAAGTGTTTGAGGTGTTACGTGGGAAAATGGTGGGTTGGGGACCGATGACCAATTGAAAATATTGTCGAGGTTGTAAAAACCACATTTCTTTAACTTGAGATAACAACTGAATTTTGACTCATAACTTTGAGCATACACATTATAATACTTTAGTAAGGCTACTTTCATAATTGTTAATTTACACTGATATACACAAGTCAACGACTATTCTCAAATTGTATCATATTGTAAAAAATCGAAATTTCAAAGCAGGTCTCATTTTTCACGTACTTGAATAAAAATGTCTGTCATGATTAATTTTTTTTTGAAAAACAAAAAACAAAAAAAACAATAAGAACCGAGAAAAGTTTACAATAGCGAAAAACTACATTTTTCTTTTTTTTTATGTTTGTTTCTTTTAAAATTTTTTTTGGAAAACCCTCTTTAACGTGGTATGCCTTTAAAAAACAAAAAATTAAAATCAATAACATATAATTTCATGGATTGACAACATGCCAAACAGTTGAAGTATATACCTATATATTCCTTACATACAAAATAAGAATAATAAAAGTGTTAGTACATTTCATACAAGCCCGACCAAATTATGAATTTACGGGTTCTCCTACAGACTGTCGACATTATTATTGGTGTTTGGTATGTATGTCCCGTACAATTGGACCTTCCCTTTTCATCGGTTTCTGACATGATACTTTTACAACAACAAGATAAGGACACAGTAATCAGCTTCACTACATCTTTTCTTCGTATTTCCTGAATACCCAAATAATATTTTGGTCAAAAGAGTATTTTTATTGAAAACAATATAAAATTAATTTTTCATGATAGTAAACAGTCGTATCTGCAACTCCTAGTAGCTTTCCAACAGAAGACGTACATATGTCATATNTATATATATATATATAGCCCTCGAACAGGATCAGTAGCAGTATAGTCTTGCAGGGAGAACTCATTTTTTACTTTTTTTCCCCCCAAATCAATATTCGTGATGGGATACAAAGGAGTATTAGTTATTTCCAAAACTACAAATGTGTTGTCATTATTATGTTCCAGTTGATTTATACGCTTTGTGCTGCAAAACTCGCGTAGAAACCGTGCATGCCTAACCTATAACCAATACTTGCATCCGACTCCCTGACCGCCTGGCGTCGACGTAAACATCAGACCATCAGATTGGATGTAAACATTGGTTATAGGTTAGGCATACACAGATTATACGCGAGTTGTGCAACAGGAAGCGTACAAATCAACTAGAAAAAAATAACGACAACACTTTTGTATCTTTGGCAATAACTAATTACTCCATTTTATCTCATGACGAATGGTGATTCGAGAAAAAAAAAAACTGAGTTCTCCGGAAAACTACTTCTACTGTTCCTGTTGGAGGGCTTATATATCACATATATGTCTTGTGTTGGAACACCAATTGATCGATATATTTAATCATTTTCAGATGGGATTAAGTACGTAAAACATGTAACTAAAAAAATGTAGTGTATTTTTAATGTTTTTCGAATTCCCGTCTTTGATTTTTTCATGTGTATTAACAGTTTCAGAATTTATTGAAAAAACGAACTCTAATACTAGGATTTCCAACAGTGGTGAGGATTTGAGAAATAATAGTAGTAGACAATCTTCTGATGACGATAGTTTTCAGTATTTCAGTGATATTAATTATACAGTAAATAATGATGTAAATCAAGTTTTTGAAGATGAGAACGACAGAATAAATGTTATTTACGAGGATATCAATGGGGATGTAGATGATTGTTCCGAAAATAGTGATGACCATGATGAAGCACGATCCTGGGATAATCAATTCAATGACATGAATTTTTTTACTAACGATTTCAAACATTCTGTAGACACTCGCACTATGTTCATTGAATCTAACTTAACTGTTTCTGATGTTTTATTAATGATACAGGCATTAATTATTAAATACAATTTGGTTCGCGATGTGCAATGTGCTTTAATAGATCGTATCAAATGTTTGGCTGGTCCAACATTTGAGAACTGGAATAACAGTACGTATTTATTGTCAAAAGGTTTTTCTAATCCACCGAAAGTTATTAAGAAACACTTTTACTGCGCGTCCTGCTATCTCGAAGTGTATACTATTGAATCTCATAAACCTGTCTCCATCGTAATCAGTTGTCCAAAATGTGAGGCTGAATATCTTCTATCTGCCGAATCTACTAATTTTTTTTTGACCCTTGATATAAAATATCAATTAGAATTGTTATTAAACAATCCAAACATTCAACAAGATTTTAAAACGTATCAAAAAGAGTACGAAATGAATAAAAACTGTGACCTCGTTGAGGATATATACAGTGGAAACATGTATAAGACATTAAAAACTATTGAACCACATTGTCTGACTTTAAACATGAACACAGACGGAGCACAATTATTCAACAGCTCTAAAAAAAGTTTATGGCCAGTGCAGTTGCATCTGAACGAATTAACTCCAAAAACCCGTTTTAAGAATATCATTCTAGCCGCTTTATGGCAAACGTAACACGAGCCAACTCCGGATTTTATGAATCTCTATATGTCAAACTTACAAATGACTTTAGCTGATTTGGCCTCTGTAGGTATCAAGATTGTAGATTGTGATACGGGAGATGTGAGTGTAAAAAAAGTTTATTTGTTGCATTCCTGCGTGGATACAGTTGCTAGACCATTACTTCAAAATCGTATTAAATTCAACGGTAATTTTGGCTGTAGCTGGTGTTATCATGTTGGTAAATATAACAGTGGTTCAATGCGATACCCTATTCTTGAAACAGATCCATCAACAAGAACACACAACAGTCATTTAATAGATATAGAAAACTTTTGTAAATTAGGAAAGTTTATTAGAGGTGTAAAAGGAGAAGCTAAGTTGACCGAGGTGAAAAATTTTGATATTGTTTGGGGCCTGCCGCCCGACTACATGCATGGATCATTGCTTGGTGTTTCAAAGCATTTGTACACT